GCTGACACCAATAAAACTGCAGCTCGTACTCCAGGGCTGAGCAGGGGTCCAAGGTATCTGCCTTCTCTGGCCTCTCTCTAGCTTGCAGAAGGTGGCGGGGGACTGGAGTTCAGCTCTAGAAACAGATTTACCTTCACAATCAGTCCCTTGGAGTCCACCATCCAAATTTTTTTGATGGCATCCTCTCGTGAAATTCCTTCTTTTTCCATGGCCATGAGGATGAGATGAGCTATGCCCATGGCAGCCTGGAACACAGTACATAAACACTTCATTGGGGTATCATCATCTTTTGGGGGGCAAGATTTTAAATGAGAGATATGTTGGGTCATCCTCAGCACTGCACAAAGCAGGTCCATGGTGGTACAGTGCCATGGCATGGGGCTGATTTTAGCATTATAGGTGCTACCATAAATAAAAAACCCACAATTGTCCACCAGAGCAGGCTGCCTGTGAGGCTGGAGCAGACCACAGTTGTCCAGCAGAGCAGGCTGCCTGTGAGGCTGGAGCAGTGGAGGTGGTACCCTGACAGGCAGAGGCTGTCTCCATCATTTAAACCAGCTGCTGCAGGGAAGGAAAAGGGGCAGACACTGAACAAATGTCAGTGATGATGCCAGGACAGAGGAACTCAAAGCTGAGTGGGATTGCTGCATCTGAAGTACCACCAAGAGGAAAATCCTCTTCTCCGATTCCAGCTGAGGAAGCAGCCCTGGACATGCTGCATGTGTTAGTGGTCCTGAAGCTGTGCCTGGCCCTCCTGCCCAGATGAGGACTAACAAGGCAGGATGGTCTCTGTGCCACAGAGATGGTGACCAGCAGAGACACGTCTGCAAGGAGGGGTGGAGAAAGAGAAGAAACAATCTTTGCTTCACACAGGGATCGACAAACAGTGAGTAACAGACTTTGCTTGAAGTCCCACAGGTGGGCAAGAGCTGAGTCAGGACTTGGACCAACACCTTCAGTCCACAGTCCAGGCTTTGGAGACTTGTTCTTCCCCCTCTCTCTTTGAGCAAGGTGCCATACAGGCTACCTGACTTTTGCCACGGGGGCAATATGACTGACTCCAAGAAGTGAGGTTATGTTTTTAGAGTTCCTTGAGTCTGAGCTCTTTTGGCTCTATTGCTAAAGAGACTCTGGTTTACCCTGAATACCATCCCTGAGGACTCAGACCAGCCTTAATGTTCCTGCAGCACCCTGCCTCATTAGAGACTTCCCTCAACGTACTTCCCCGCTGACACATGGGCAGCCTTGTCACATCCAGGAAGTCTGCCCAGAACTCATGGGCCAAGAGGTCACTTGTGGCAACTTCTACACAGCAGCAAGATCCACCTGTGGGACCCACTCCTGCTCAGTGACAAGGAACCTGCTTCTGTGCTTTGTTTTCATGAAGCCAAGCCTTGCAGGAAGTTCCACAGCTGACTTTTCTCTCTCTAAATTTGAATTTAGATCATATTTAGGAACAAACTTAAGAACATTCCTACCTCTCCAGCTCCTTGGAAAACAAACTTATGGTCAGAGAGCTTGTTCTTTGTGATCCTTAAGGCTGCAAAGATGCCAGCAACTGCAACAGACGCAGTGCCTGAAAAGAAAGAAACACCGTGAGATCGTCAGCCTGGCAAATGGATTGTCTGCCCTACTCATATGCTGTTAGAAACCTTGTGGTAGGAACCATTCTCTTAGATCCTGTCACTAAAGGATCCGACTGCCTTCCTTACTCTGAAATATTAATCCTCAGATGACCCCTGTAAGGCAGGTGAACACCAGTTTCCCTCTATATAGACTCAAAGGGACACTAAGTCCCAGAATGACAGAAGTTAATACCTAACTCCCAAGGGTTTAAGATGCATGTGAGTTGGCTAAGGTCACAGGAGATATCTGTAGCAGAGCGGTGGTCTGAACTTGGGCACCCTTGTCACAAAATCCTCTGTGATCATGGAATTACCATCCTCTTCGCCTCATTTACCTTCACAGCCCAGTACCACTTTCTTTTTTTTTTACTTCCCTGATACCCTGACTCAGGGCCATCGTGCCTCACTGCCGAGCATTAAGGAGTCATTGAGAACGTGAGTTGGTCCCAGATTAGTGAGAAAGAACACAGTCTATGGAGAGCAGAGTCCTGCTGTTACAGCCACCATGATACATACAGCTTTCCATCCATCAAGGGAGGCAGATGCCTAGACCGAATAAACCTGCCTTCAGCCCACATCAGTCACATATAGTATTCTCCTAATGTCCCAGCCCAGGTGTAGGAATGTGGTGGGAAGAAATCAAATAAGGCACAGACTAATGGGGATTGAGGCACTGGTGGTATCTCAGGTCACCTGGGCAAGCTGGATACAAGTGTTAAAGGTGAGCTAGGAATGAAGGAGGCAGTTTTATCACAGAATATCTCCAGCTGGAAGGGACCCATAAGGATCATTGAGTATGTTAAGTTTTATTCCTCAGCGTTTTAAAGAATACCAGTTTGGATGTGCTCCAGTTCTGATGCTGTCCCCAGCTCTAACGCTGGTCTCTCTGTTCTCATCTTCAGAAGCTTTATGAGAAATCAGGGAGTCCACGAGTAACAAGTCTTGCGTGGGTGGTCATGGGTGGTGCAGACAACAAACCTTTTTAGGCTAATAAACCTGATTTCACCAAATTGCCAGTATTTCCTATTTTCCTGCCCATTTAATCATCCAGCGCATCAGTGTTTCAATCAGCCAATGCCTCAGTGAGACCCCTTGCAGGGTCCTTGGGCCCTGGGGTGCTGCCAGGCATCAGTGAGCAGCCCGTCTGGGAAACGAGAGCAGGTCATGAGCAAAGCGTGACCATGAGCAGTGAAACCAGCAGAGGGTGCTGCCTCATCTGACAAGGACCGAGAAAAACAAAATCAGCTTTACCTGCTCCTTTTCTTTAGTGCAAAAGCCACAGCTAAACTAGAAATCTGCTGGTATAGCATGGCATCGGGGAATGATTTCCTCTCACTATTATCACAGCTAAACTAGAAATCTACTGGTATAGCATAGCATCGGGGAATGATTTCCTCTCACTATTATTTCCATGCAAGCAGGAAACCTAGTGGGAGCAGTTACTCTGGCAGAGAAGTAACTTTGATTGACACAGCTTATTTTGCTTGGGGAACCTACATAAGCTACTCTGACAAAGAAAGTCTTTATTGCACAGACAAGAAGTGTTTATCAGTACCACTAGCTCACCAACATTTTGCTTTTATAATTCAAGTGAGTTAAGTTCTCCAAAAATGAATAATTAGCACCACTTAAGATTGGTGCTGGTTTAGCAGAGATGGCAGTAGCCTCATTCCCACAGAAAACAGCGTGTCCACGTGCAGGCACACCAATAGAGAATGGCAGCGGCATCATTTCTTACTCATGAAGGCATTGTGAGCATCCGTGTCTTAAACACAAAGTGGATGAGACTAACTGTTGGTGGCTGCATACGCTGCTTCTTGCAAAGAATCACTTGAGACACTTGCTTCAGCACCAAGGATGAATTCCCCTCATTGTCTCAGAAAATGGTTTGGATCAGTTTATTTCCAGATCCAGACCATCTGAGTTCAGTCAGGTTAAAAGGGAGTTGATGTGGAGGGAACCAGCCATGGAGTGCTCTGCTGCTTCAGTATTAACATGTCAACTCAGACAACTGAAGGATGTATATGAAGGATTTCCTCTTGCTTCTCCTGCACTAAATCTCTGCCTTTTAAAGCTGTATTTAGAGTAATGTATTTACCTGGCAAAATGCTATGCTATTGGAGTAGAAAAATTACAGAGGAAGATAAGCAACATCCAAGGAATTTAAGAGAACACCAGATAATTGTGTAGTTTTTAGATTTTGCTTTTTATGGCTGTCATATATGACATATATATATATAGTTAGCCCACGCTCATTGTGTGTATTTTGGTAAGTCTATAATCAGGACTGCTTGGCTTGCTGCCATGCCAGATGCTAAGGATGGAACTTCTCTGAACAAACATGTATGATGATCCTGCTCGTGCTAAAGCCGGACACCTGAACTGGGTCAAATGAAATGCACCCTAAAAGGGTCACTACCACCACAGTTTTTTAAGAGAGACAAGATAACTGGAATACATGTAGGCACTTCTTTTGCAGACATCTAAAGTTTGGAGGAAGGGATCCAACTCTGGCTCTGAACTGCAAAGAAAAGTGGGGACAGACCAGGGTACCACAGCTGTCAGCGATGCCAAGCTTGTGACATGCAGCAGAATGTGAACACCTGCGTACACACTCACACATGCTCACACGCTATCTCTCAGGCTAACTTTGCACAGAAATCCTCAAACCCCTGTGTGGGTGGGAGTGAGGAACTGATCAGAGGAAAAAATCCAAAAGTGAAACAATTACAACGTGACAGTGTAAGCATCAGGTCACAGCATTAGCAGCAATAGATGTCTGGAAAGTATTTAAAATAAAGAAATGTAACTGGAGAAATATCTTGTTTCTCTTGGTCCTGACCCAGGCGAAATTGCTGCATACCCCATGAATGTCAAGAAGTCTGATGGGACAAATGCTGGTATCTGCAAACCCATTTAAACAGAATACGCTCGTGGGACATTCAGCAGAGAGACTCGAGGTCTTTTTAAAGATGTTACTAGCAGGAATTTGAGAAGTGGGGCATACGGAAAGAAAGGGTGCATGGATTCAGTCTGCAGAGCAGTGTGCGCTTTGCAGAGCGGAGACCTGTGGGACTGGGTGTGCCATTACTCATCCCTCCGCACTGCTCTGCACCTCTGACTAACAGCAGGGCTCTGTTCAGCTCTGCCTTTCCTAATCCTCCTCCTCTCTCTCCAATGTGTTTCTAATCCCTCCATGTCTCCCAAACTGCACCTCACGCCTATTACTCAACTAGCAAAGTTACTGTACTTTGGTCTCGGCTCAATATTTTTCTTTGATAATTATGATTTCTGAGCATGGAACAATAGTGCATCTCCATGGAGGCAAGTTCACAGCTGGTTCATATAAGGAACTGGCTAATCACTGTGCTTCAATTCCAAAAAGATCACAGAATGAGGGGGGGCAACCCTCACCATGAGCTAGAGCAAGAAAAAAACAACTACCCTTCAACACATTGTTCTATATGTTTTCCAAAGAGATTGAACGCTGCTATTGCAGATGACTATCTCCTTAAGTAAATAGCAAGAGCCAGCTTGGCTGGTCTCTGTCTGAGGTGAGATACAGGGGGACACAGACAGAAGAAATTAAGTGCTCGCAGATCATCCTGTCTGACCAAGACTCAAAGTGAACGCTCAACTTAATATGAGAAAATAGCACACAGACCTCAGGAGCCTTGCTGGGGAATCCAGCATAACAGGATCAGCAAAGAAAAGAGGCATTTAAAACTAAGGTACACTCAGGAAAAAGGCCATCCCTGTAGGACTTAATCTCTGATAACTCAGGCACATTCAGAATATTGTAAAATATTAAGGAAACCCTCCTTGAGACTGATTTTCACTTGCACTCATGTAAGTCAGAACGAGCCCCAACAGATGTCAGTGGTGCTACACTGGAGCATAACCAGGGGAAAAGGATCTTCTCCACAGCTTCAGGACACTGCACAGGTGGAGAAGGCTGCAGCCCATGCCCAGGGACCTCATCCTTCGTTCAGAGCAGGAAGAGCGCATAGAGGGGCGGATGGCTTCACACATGGAGATTTGGGCAGCGCTGGCGCACAGCGAAAGAGCTGCCCAGCGCCCATGTCAAGGCTGCACCGCGTGTGACAGCATCCAGTGGCTAAGCAGGGGACATGGGCAAAAGCACGGCCACTGCGGATGCCTGGGGGGCAGGAGCCCCTCCATGCTGAGGGCTGGCACTGCCTTGTCACCTGTCCTGGGCGCAGGCTGAGCGGAGCAGAGTATCACCACCACGGCAAAGCCTTCCGACAGCAGCAGCGATGGGAGCACGCTGCCACACCACTGCCCGTTTCTTCATACAACACCCGTGTGGGTGATTCCCCCTTTTCCACAGCACGCTGGTGGGAGAGATGGACAAATTCAGCCTGATCATTTACTTTTTACCCTTGCCCCACCTGCTTACGCTTTGCCCCATCAAAACCATGCCACGATGGGGGCCTGGGGAACAGCAAACGCCAGTTTAACAGCTCCAGCAAAGGGCAGCCAAGAAAATATATCTGAATTTATGGACGCAAAGGAAGCATAGGGCTTTTCCAAATCCTGGTTTACATTAACTCCCTGCAGCGGTTCCGCCTGTTACTGGAAAGCAGAGTGGAGCCTGTCCAGATCCACTCCAAATACATAATCAAAAGTCAAACACAACAAAGCTGAAGCAAAAAGCTGCTGAAGTGTTTGCAGCTTGAGGTCTTCACCTCCATGGCTGTGGGATATTGTTATCCTTCCCCCAAAGGGCCTCTGTAAGACATTAAGAAAATAAACCTAGAAATGGTGTGGTGCAAGGCAATGAGAACAGCAGTAAAATGCACAGCACCGATGCTCAGGGAAGGAACTTTTTCTCTACTAACAGATTTAGGGGCACTAGTGACCCAGGAGAGGTGGTGGTATGGTGAAGAGCTGTCTGACCATGGAAACACAGAGGCTACCAGGCAGCTGC